TGCTTCTTCCAGTCTCCAAGTGTTCAGTTAAATAGGATAAGTCCAAACATTAAGTAACCAATTACTATATTTCTTTATTGTTAGTGGTCTATAAAAGACTATTGGTTTTTAAGCATGTAGAAATTAAGTTCAGCTCCAGTGAAATACCTTTATCTTTTAGAAAAGGAAAAGGAAATTGGCCATTTCTTAGGATAGGTAGAGGACTATTCATAAAGTACGCCCACCCCAATTAATTCTACTTGCCAAGCTTATTCAGTGAGTCCTTTGCACCTAGTGATTAATCAGTGACCTCAGAGAGGTAGTAACCCAAAGAGATCGAGAGAATGGGGATATAAAACAATATGTAAGGACAGTAAGCCATTGCATTTATGGAATCACTGCTTTTCAAACTCCTTAACACTCTTAACAAGACATTTTAGGTTATCTTGAAGATTAAGGACAGTCCTTACATGAAACTCAGTTTTAAACTACATTGCAGTAAAAAGCAAATTATAATTAATAAACAACCTTAAAAAGAGGTAGCCACAAACCCAATTGGTTTAGAATGGCCTTCCAACAAAGTCAGTGTGTGAGTTGAAGGGTTTGTGTCATGGATGTCAGATTATGTAACCATAACTGGGAAAGAAGGCACAGCTCTGCATAGACAACCAAGAGAAGCCAAAGTGTTTATGTGGCATGGCAGTAGAGGGGATTATGCCGATGACAGTGATTTGGACGTGGTGATCAGCAGTCTTCGCCCAGGTGCTGTGTGTGGTTCTGCCTGGTGGGCCAGGAGAATGACTGAGGAAACTGAGCTGTAAGGGCGCAGTACACAAGATTATTTAGGGCTTGGAGTCTGTTGTGTTTCCAAGACAACAGGTAAGGACTGAGTGGCTGAGTAAAGGGAGGTGGGAGGTGGGATGTGTGCGTGGCAAGGTCTTCCATGTGCAATTCATGGAGAAATCTTGACACAGAGGCTCTGTGATTTACAGACATCATCTGTTCTTGTCATGGAAACAGGTTATTGTTACCATCTACCAGAAGTATGGTATAAATAGTGGAAAACGGGTATAAAGGATATGTAGGGTTTTCTAATTGAATGCCTGCTTTGAAGAGACAAAAAATTTTTGTGAAAGCAAACGAAATCTATTGTCATATCATTGAATACTCTTTTAATCTTAATTTCAAAGCAGAGACATTTGGTTATGTGGTAAATTTAAAAAATGTTGAAAATAACCTTTGAAAAAGGAAAGTTGACATAAGCTATTCTGTCTCCTTAAAAGAACACACACTACCAAAAATCTTTTGGAAAATAATAATAGTCCTCAAACTTGTTTAGACAGATTTTTCAAAAAATCTGACCTTCAAGATGAAGTTTGTTTTCCTTTACTGTATTGGTTATCTGGAATTACTAGTAGTGCATTGTGTGATGTTCTTATTGGCGGTTAATGACATTAAGGGATTAAAGGCTTTCATACTGACTCATTTGGCTTTTGATCTGTAAATAAACAAGTTATTCTTTTCTAACTTTCAGCTTATATAGATTTTTGTGAAATTTTTGTTGATTCTTTAAGTGCACGGACTAGCATTGGAAACGTCTTTCCATCTTGCTTGCATTTTTGGTTTGAGACAGTAGCCTTTTAGCATGATTTCCATAAACCCAAGACTATGAGTCTTCTAATTTCGCTTCAGAAACCAAGACTCAGAATGTTTGGTCTGGAGGTCCCTTAACACCATTGTCTCTGCATCACCTGGCATTAAACCTTTGGGGAACTTTTTAGAAGGCCTTGGCCTATGTTTTTGTTCTCAAAACATTTCCCCGCAAATGCATCTACACCTATGGTTGGTCGACCTAGGGAAATGCACTATATGTCATGGTTTTTAGTATCATTATGTGACTTACCTATTTTTATTTTGCTTTGGACACTCTATAGTTAGATGCAAAGATCAAAACTAGGCAGTTTCCATTTATGGACTGGCATCTTTTATATGGCCATGAGGACTGCAGATTGTGGTGTGTATTTGTTTATACTGAAATCATACTTTTAAAAAAATCTTCCATATTTCAAGTGTTTTTATTCTGAGCAGTAGGTACAAAAAATAATGACAGATATGTCTTATTCTGTATAGTGCTGAACTCTGCACAGGCTCTCAACCTCTGATTTGATATACTTTTACAGATTGACTAGATCCTTAAAATCATTTACTGTATGTACTTCTTGCTCTCACTGGCAATTGAGCCAAAGTTGGAAATATGCATTTTCAGACTTCATTGAGAAACTCCAAATTGAGACAGGCGGGGATGTGGATTGAGTCCATAGTCAGAGAAGATGGATTAAATGGGAACAAAACAGGAAACATGTGCTTGTAGTCTAACAGCAGTTGCTGAGGGTCATTCCGCTCTTGTAGCTGTGCCTGTGGGGAAGGAGAGGACTGTAAAATACTTACTACACTTATGAATAGCCAGTTTAGGTAAATTCACCAAAGTGAATTGGCACATATCATGGAAGTAGTTCTATAAATTAAGTAGGGCTAGGGAGACCACATTCTCCTGAAATTGAGGTATTTAGCAGGACGATAAGCCTTGGCTTAGGCTTTTTGGAGATCAGATGATTTTAACCTTGCTCCTAATTCTAGCAGTCTTTTAAAAACTTTTCATGTAAATAATTTAAAAAAAACATTTCAGGTGCAAACCATGTGGAGAGAGGCAATGTGGTAGAGTAAGGCCGTGGCCCCTGAAGGTACATAGCCTGAGTTCTAATCCTGGTACCACGTTGGGCAAGTTCCTGAACCTTTTTATGCCTCAGTTTCCTCATCTGTAAAATGGAATAAGGAGAGTGATGTCACAAAAATGACAGAGTGGGAACCTCTAGGGGTCAGTGTCTTCATGGAAGCAACCCTTGAGCTGAAAAAAGCAATTGATATCAACTATCTCAGAGCTCTGGAATCTGATTAGACACATATAAAGGATCAGGAGAATGAGTGATGAAGGGAGTGACTCTTTATCTTTGTTAAGATCAGCGTGCATGGACCAGCTACCATTCCCTAGCCCACTGACGCTGTAGGGATGGTGACCTAGGCTGCTGGAGCAGCTGTCTGGTGCCAGGGCAGTCAGTGGGACCTTGTCCTCCAAAAATTTGGGGTTGTGCACTTTGGTTGGTCTGGCAGTTCCCTGAAGGGCTGGCGCAGATGCCTGTCTCAGTTTCAGCTGTCTTGGACTGCAGCGGCTTCCTCTAGTGGAATTAACTGGAAGATTTAAAGGGACAGAGCCCCTCTACTTAGAGCAAGGCATTTTAGGAAAAGTATAATAACTGAAATAAAAAATGTCAGTTCATTAAAGTGGGTCAAAAGCAGACTTTAGCAGGGAGAAGAAATGATCAGTGAACTTAACGATAAGGCAACTAAAATTCTCTAGTTTGAGGAACAAATAGAAAAAAGAATGAATAAAAGTGAACAGAGCCTGAGAGAACTCTGGGACCCCACAGCATACCAACATACATCAAAGCATCCTAGTGTGCTGACTGGAAAATTACTGCTTGGCTATCGCCCATGGGAACATAACATTCTAACAATAAGCTTTCTGCTTCTGTACCCCGGCTTGCACAATCGACCTGTGGGTTGAGAGGTAGTGAATAAGAGAAAAAGAGACCTTTGTGTTTAAGACAGAATGAGGAATGGGATTTAGGGCTTAAAAACCCTGTACCTCTGCATTTCGGGGCTGCTTAATTTGGGGTCTGCGTACCCCTGGCAGACCCAGCTGGCTGAATAAAGAGCGTGTTTCCTATAACTCACTGAGTTCTGGTGGTCTGTGTGTCTTTCCGGGGCTGGTGGCTACAATACTAGAAGGAGAAAAGAGAAAGGGGCAGCAAAATATCTGAAGAAAAAAGGGCCCAAAAGTTCTCAAATCAGATAAATATACATACAGCCAGGAAGTTGAACAAATTCCAAGCTGGATAAACTTAAAAAGATTTACACTGAGACACAGTGTAGTCAAATTATCAAAACCCAGTGACAAAGGGAATCTTGAAAGCATTAAGAGCTGACTTCTCATCAGAAACCCTGGAGGCCAGGAGGCAGTGAGATGACCAAGTCCTGAAAGAAAAAGCTGTCAACCAAGAATTCTATACCTGGCAAAACTATCTTTCAAGAATGAAGGAGAAATTAAGTCATTTCCAGATAAACAAAAGCAGATGGAGTTACCAGTAGACCTGCCCTACAAGAGATAGTGAAGAAAGTTCTTCAGGCTGAAATGAAAGGACATTAGTAACTCAAAGCCATAATTAAATGTAAAAGCCAGCACTATACTTTTGGTGTGTAACCCCTCTTTTTTTCCTATATGATTTATACAAAAGCAGAAAACAATATTATAAATCTATTAATCTATTAATGTGACCTGTGAAAATAACAATATAAAGGTAGGGAGATGGAGATATATAGCAACAGAGTATTTGTATACTATTGAAACTAACTTGGTATTTAAACTAGGTGGTTATAAGTTGTTCATTGTGATCACCAAGGTAAACACAAATAACTAAAAAATATATAGAAAAGGAATCAGAATGGTACACTACAAACACACACACACACCAAAGGCAGTAATGGAAGAACCGTGGAGCACAAAAGATGTAAAACATACAGAAAACAAGTAGCTAAATAGCAGAAGTAAATCCGTTTTCAGTAATTACTTTAAATGCAATTAAAAGGCAGAATGGATTTTGAAAATGTGATCCATCTATATGCTATCTACAAGAGACCCACACAGTGACAAAGAGATCGAAAAAAAAAAAAAAGATATTTGAAGTAACCAAAAAAGAGCTTGAATGGTTATACTGTCATTCAAAATATATTTTAAGAAGAGATTACTAGAGAAAAGGGACATTATAGATTAATAAAAGGTTCAATCTGTTGTAGCCACCAGCCCCTGAAAAACACACGGGCCACCAGAAATCAGTGAGTTATAGGAAACATGCTCTTTATTCAGCCAGCTGGGTCTGCCAGGGGTACGCAGACCCCAAATTAAGCAGCCCCGAAATGCAGAGGTACAGGGTTTTTAAGCCCTAAATCCCATTCCTCATTCTGTCTAAACACAAAGGTCTCTTTTTCTCCTATTCCCTACCTCTCAACCCACAGGTCGGTTGTGCAAGCGGGGGTACAGAAGCAGAAAGCTTATTGTTAGAATGTTATGTTCCCATGGACGATAGCCTATGTTCCCATGGGCGATAGCCAAGCAGTAATTTTCCAGCCAGCACAAATCCATCAAGGAGCTATAACAAGTATAAATATATATATGTACCTAGCAACAGAGCCCAAAATATATGAAGCAAAATGATAACTGAAGAGAGAAATAGTTCTTTAATAATAGTTGGACACTTCAATACCCCCTTTCAAAAATGGATAGAATAACTAGATAGAAGCTCAATAACAGAGGCCATGAACAACACTGTAATCCAGTTAGACCTAACAAACATACATGACCAGGTTGGAATTATCCTCAGAATGCAAGGGTGGTTCAACATATACAAAGAATCCAAGAATACAACATATACAAGAATAATATTCTCATGTATGTATATACTTCATGCACTGATGGTAAGAATGTAATGTAGCTACTATAGAAAACAGTTGAGGTGCTTCCTCAAACATTTAAACAGAACTGTAATAGTTCCCTCTCTTATCTATGGTTTCAATTACCCGCAGTTGGCTGCCGTCCAAAAATTAAAATTCTAGGTGTCAATTTAAAAACACCCATTATTAGCATCTTGAAGGATGGGCCAACTTTTTAAAGTAATTTTAACAGTTTGAAAAAGTCGTTTGAAATAGGAAGAAGCAGAAAGGAGATTTAGGGATGAATAAGCAACCAGCTTTAGTAATTTAAGATGCCAAGTGAGGTCTCTGATGTAACCATGGCAGAAGGGGCTCTCTATGATCATTGACAGCTCGTATTCAGCTAGCTCTGAGCTTTGCTGCATTTGTCATTTCAAACTTCTCAGCATATGAAAATGTACATAAAATGGGAAATGGCAGGAGGCTCTTAAAATTTTTTTATAGGACTTATGGTCCTCTTATTTCTCTACATCAGTCAGATATATCAATAGGCTCTACTATTTAAAGGGCTTGAAGAAATTAGAGGAAAGATTTAAGAGCTCAGGTTGTTTTTTTACAAGAATATTTCTAGTTTCATTTGTGAGTAGGGTTGATAATATTTTGCTTACTTTAATTCCATTTGGTGCTCTAGATTTAGTAATGTGTTAGTGGCAAATGAAATAAGACTGTCTAAAATCTGAGAAGCAGAGATTATAAAAGTTCCGTCTTTTGTGTATATATATGTTATTCATGGGTGATATGGTTTATATTGACCTAAATAATGTAGGATCTTTCATCACATAACGTAACCAATATTTTATTAATAAAAAAGTTAAAAATCGAAACTATTTCTTTATTAGTTTTAGACTAGGACTTTAAAAAATTAATATTTTAAAACTCACCTGGATTGTTCGTATAAAACTCACTGTTACCCGTTCTTCAAATTCATTCAGGGGAGTATAAAGGTTTAAAATTTTGACAATCTGTTAGAATAAAAACGAAAGTTTAGCACAGAGCTAAGTGAACATGAGAAAACATATGAATTTTAAAGAGCATATGACAGTGGCACAAGAGTCCAATCCTCTTTGGGCAGGACCCACAACTCAGAGCTGGACTGACATTTAGGAGACACCAGTTCTTAACTCGAGCTCCTATGTCTTGCTTCATTGCATTCCTATCTCCTATACCCGCACCCCTGCTCCACTGTGCTCTATGGCTTAAAAAATAATGAGGATTTTAGGAAACTGTTGCCTGAAATCCTCAGCTTCTTATCCATCAGTAATTTAAAGTTTTTTATCAAAAGATCTTACTTTAGATAACAAAGATCTTGTTTAACCACACCTCCCTCCCTTCCACCACCCTCCAAACACCACTTATAAAGAAACAGACTTTTTTCTTATTTGAATGGAGAATCATCTTTATCTGCCTATCAGTTGTTTGGTGGACAGCCTGCCCACATGCAAACCAATGCCAGTTGCATTCTAGAAGTAAACTTAATATACTTAAAAGGGAGAAAAAAACTTTGAAAATTTTCAGTGCATTTATAAAAGGAAGCAGTTTCCTAAAGAGTTTGGTATTTCACCTTTTAGTAGTTAGTAGAGGAGGCAAGGAAATGATTTGTTTTGCATCACTGCGCTTGGATTTTGTTGTTCTTTAGGCTGTTCAGGAAAAAGGTACGTGATTTAATTTGGAAAATGATTTCCTTGTGCTAGTCTCATTTAGTGACAGCACCTTGTGGTGGCCTACTTCTAAATAGGCACACTCACAATGGTTACCCGTGTGTGGACAGGATTTATCTTTTTGTACACTCGTAATCTCTCTGCAACCAAGTCCTAGGATAGTTGTTTTTTTGTTTTTTGTTTTTTTGTTTTTTTGGTGGGGGGAAAGAACATTTAAATGTCTCTAGGTTCTTAGTGATTTTATTTTAAAAATGTAAATGGATTCTAAGTGAAAACATGATAACACAAAAAAATTATAATTATAAATAAGCAATTTATTTACTGCCAAATGCCTCATGCTGCCAATTTCTGAAAAAATTTGAAGTTCTAGGTGAGAAACATTCCAGAATTCATTGTGTTTAAAAAAAAGTTTGTACTTAAGCTCAATTTTTTGTGGGTTTTCTACCTTATCTAAGTGAGTAAGAGGAAGCAGAAAGTTACTAGAAAACAGTGGCATCTTGTTTCACAGGCCAAAGTAGTCTTTGATTCATCTAGGAACGTTCTATCAGCTGCAACTTCAGAATTACATCATCAAAGGTATAAAAAGGCTGGAAGTGCAACAGTTTAAAAAAAAAAAACAAACACAACCCACTGACAAGAACAGACTCGAGATGGCAGCTGGGCTTGCTCTGAGTCCACTGGGTGATGGGTTATGTAGTGACAGTACCTGCTGGGTGCTGAGGGAGGTACACAGGGAGCAGATGGCCTCGGCATCCTCGGGGGTTTTCTTCTTTAACTGCAAGAGTTGGGCTGCTTGGATCAGAGGTTCCATGGTCTGGACTGCTCCGCTCTGGTGAAGGTTTCTTCCCCGAAGCCACTCCTCGAGTTGACTTATATTGTACCTTAAAGGTAAAAGTCAGCTGTGCTTAGCCAGTCCTCCAAAGGCAGTGGGATGAGCACAGCTGTTGTTCATTTTGCAACCTCGCTGCCACTACTGTTATTCTCCTCACCTTAATTATCTCACAGGGGCAAAAGCTCGAACAGTGCCTGGCACTCTTTTTGTTGAATGAATGGGTGCTTAAAAATCAAAAGATGAAGTACCTAAAGGGTCTGTATAAGTTAATGGGGGAAAAAAGGCATTAAATATACTGCATTAAAACAACTAATATTTAAAATTCACAAACGTATTTATACTTCGGTGTGAGCCTTCCTGGCTCTTAAACTCATTGAGTTTCTTTCTCTGACCTATCTGCGTTGTATTTACATACAATCTTTGGCATATATAAATATCTTTAAGCTTTGAACTAATTTGTTTACAAAGGCACCATCTCAGTGTTTGATGAATTTCGCCATCAAATAAAGAGGTGGTGGGAGTCGAGCTGCATACTGACTGTGACGAGGACCATCAAGTTCGATTTGGATTTCATTTTCAGAGACAAGTGTCTTGTGCTCCGACTCCAGCTGGTGTGAGCGGGTCCTCTACCTGTGCGGCGAGGGCGCCTCTCCTACCTGAGCTGCATGCCTGTGCTCCAAGAGCAGACGTCCTTCCGCAGGAGCAGGTTGTTGAGAGTCACCGCCGTGATCATGTAGAAGAGCTGCTTGAACACCTGCAGGATGATCTCGGGGTCCAGGCCCTGGTCACACATGACCGTGTGAAAGCAGTTCATCTGGCGGATGACGGCTTCCAGGCAGTACGAGTTCTCCCCGTCCGCCATGCTGGAGGAGCGCTTCCGGTAGCCTGTTGGTTTCACACCACAGAGACCTTGAATGCTCTCATTCTCCAACATGGCTGAAACTGGAAGAAAAGCGCGATTAGAGGAGCTTGCCTGTTTCTCAAAGATCTGGTTTTGGACCATTCAGGTCACACAGTGCTCAGGGAGTTGGCAGTGATACCATCCGGAGGTGCGCAGTGTCGACATGCACACAACTTGCAGCGTTCAGGAGAGGATTTCAAATGTGTTGGCTTCTGTATGGAATAAGGTAAAAGTCAGCTGTGCTTAGCCAGTCCTCCAAAGGCAGTGGGATGAGCACAGCTGTTGTTCATTTTGCAACCTCGCTGCCACTACTGTTATTCTCCTCACCTTAATTATCTCACAGGGGCAAAAGCTCGAATAGTGCTTTTGCACTGTTCTAAGTGAAAACATGATAACACAATTTCAAATGTGTTGGCTTCTGTATGGAATAAGGTAGTTGTGGGTCAGATTTTCACTTAAATTTATTGGTGATGGAACAAAGAAAATGGGCATGTCCGAGCGCGATACTGCGCTGGCTTCTGTGCTGGGAGTTCACAGTCTGAGAATTGAGCAACCAGGATGTCTTCCTAGCCCAGCTGCTGACCTGGGCCTGGACCCTGAGGCCATCCTGCAGGTGTCCAAACAGCTCTTCTCCGTGAACCCCCAACCATGTAAACATCAGGTCAGCTGGTCCGTCACACTTGCTGTACAGCAGTGGACTACATGTCATGTATTTTATGTTCAGCATTTAATCTTCTAACAACCCATTTACTGATGAGGAAATTGAAGCACACAGAGGTTAAATAAGTTGTGCAAGGTCACAGCGCTAGGAAGTGGCAGCGTCAGGATGTGAACCCAGGCCCATCTGACTTCCGAACTAGTACTATCAAGTATCGCGTTATTCTGAGTCATGAAGTATCCCAGTTCTCCCTTTGTCTGGTGAGGAAAAACTGGTGCCTCATAAGAAAATTTTCAGATGGGAGGAAGGATTTGGAATGAACCTTATCCCAAGGGATATGTTTCTGGATGGCATGAAGGACTCTGTCCTACTTGGGATTCACTTAGAACCTCCTCTGTTGTAAGAACCTGGGGAAAGCGTTCAGCGTGGGTCCGGGGGACCCACGTCCGGGGGACGACTGGGTTTTCCTCAGCCTACACAGAGCAGTGAGTGTCATTTTTCTTTTACCTTAAAAGATAACTGCTCTTATTTTTCAATTCTGGTTTCACATTAAATGCCCACGTGAACGGCTCTGGACAAAGTGAGCATTCAATGAATATTTATTGCATGAGTCCCTTCCTACCGTATTCCTTCACATGAACACACTTAATGCTCTCCTTTTTTCATGAATTAAGTATATATGGGCAAGAGGATTGTGTATTTGTTACTGTATATGTGTATCTTTTGAATTTATTACCTATGAAAATTAGTTTGTTTTGGGAAAAACAACATAATATACTACAGGATAAGGAAAAATGGTCTACATTCTCACTACCCAAGCTTTATGTATTTGGATGGGATGCTGCTGAAAATTTTATAGCCCTTCTTGGGCGCACAGCGTACACCTCCTCAGTCGCCTTCACTGAGGAGGTCCTGGCTTGCTGGAGGCTGTGCCCAACATGCCCAGTTCCCTAAAGGTAAGCAGGGCTTACCATGTCTTCCCCTCACTTCAGACCCCACGACGACTGCTGGAGAGCTCTTGTTGCCAGCTTACCTATCATAGGCTGCAACACACCCTCGGCGATTTTAATGAGCTGCTGGTAGATCTGAATGGAAAGGTCACTCAGCACCTGACGGTATTCGGTGAGGTCGAAGTTCTTAAGACAGTGCTCATTCTGCTTGGCCGTGTTCCGAGTCATGAAGCCCTGCAAGGGAGAGGCGTGCTTTACCGCGGGGTCTGTGGTCGGCCTGGCTCAGGACTTCCAGGCTCCCCATCCCTTTCGCAATGTCCTAGCTATGGGGTCTTAGCAGGCTCCTTGCATTTATAGGATGTTGTACACAAGCCTGTCATGTCACATTCCAAAGAAGGCAAGACCGACTGAGATGGCATATACTTTTATTATCCCAGGGAGAAGGGTCTGTCAAAACTTGTTCTGGCACAAAAGACGGAATAAAGATGAGCTCTAAAAATTGTTGCGCTGTTGATTTATACTATACGTCTTGACCTTGGGAAAGGTGGAGGGTGAGATGCGAAAGGAACGGAAATAAGCAAAGTCGAGGAGACCTTCAGGGATCTCGGAGTGGGCAGTGTCTGGAACAACTTGGGGTTCTTACTGGAGAAACAGGAGTAAAAACAGGCCAGATGTTACTAGGTCATCGGTCTGAACGTAAAGCCTGGGAAAAATTCTTTCCGTGTTGGGCATGGTGAGTTCTCGATAAGGCTGGGCCTTGGAGGTCCAGAGTAGAACATGAAGTAATGAGATCAGATGGGCCTCAGACCCAGGAACCAAATGCGGTGGCGAGCACAACGCAGGGCCTCGATGTCAGTTTGTACAAGTCTACTTGATTGTGTTGTGCCTCTTGTGGCCGCCTTCGTGTACTTTGGAATGGACAAACCAATTGGCTGACTTAGGAGACACACACTGGACGACTGGGCTTTCTCCCCACTGAAATGGGGCGCTTATCGGGCTCCTTCAGAGATTTAAGGTTGCAAGAGTTTCCCTGGAGAGTCCCAGGTGCTCTCAGACAATGAGTGGGTTATGCAAACTCATTGCCCAGTTCAGCTTATTTCATTCAGGGTGCTTTCCGGGGGCTCTCGGGATCAGTGAGGCTGGCCTTATTCCTGCTTCTCGATACCAGGTACAGTAAGGCACGCCCACAGCCTGCGGTCCCAGAGGATGCTCCAGAGCCCTCACACCCTCTCCCCTTACGGGAGAACAAGGGTGCCTCGCACCTGAGGTGCTCTGAAGTAGAACACATATTGCTGTGCCCAAGGAAATGAGAATCTAACTGCTGGAGGATTTGGGACACTTTAATAGTTTTTAAGAGTACTTTAGGGAACTGGGTTTATCTGAGCACTCACCTCGTCCCCACTGTACTGCTTCAAACAGTGAAGGAGGCGGCAGGTGTTGGACAGCCAGAATGTCGTCATCTCAAAGTCGTCGTTGTGCTTCTGTGGAGAGAGGGAGACATCCCTCCTTATGAGTAGCGGTTCTGGCCGAATGCTTCCTTGGTGCCTCTGCTTCCACATTTTCCACTCTTACCCAGCATGCCCCAGGCAGACCTGATGACTGGCAGGCACTTGTCAGTCACAGACCATTGCCAAGAAGCTGAGTGACTGTTCTTCCGCTACTGGGGATAGTGCACAGACCCCTCTTCCCGGTCCCCTGATCAGTGGTGCACACACATGTGCACGCACACACGAACGACAGGCTACCTCTGGCTGAAGAAAGCAAAGCCAAATGACACAGACGAGGCTTAACACCAGAGGCGCTGGGCTGTACCCTGACCACTGGATCAGCAGCCCTTGGCAGGTTCTGAACTATCAGTGACCCGGCATAGGAGATGAAGGGAACATGCTGGTGAAACATTCCGGCACCCCATTTATCTAGAGGTCAGATGTTCAATGGTTTCAACACTCTGGAAAATGGCTACAAACTATAAATGAAAAAGGCTGTTCGATAACTCAGCTACGATCTATGATGCAGTTTCTGCACTAAAATCGATGACTTCATGGGACTGATTCTGTCGGGTAACCACTATCATCATTTAAGTATCCAACTGAGATATGAGCTCTGACAACAATATAACAAGGAAGTTGAACAGAAAGTAACTGGTGGGGCTGGGCACGCTCAATGAGCCTCGTGATTAGGAAGGCTTCCCCGAGAAAGTGGCATTTGCAGTCAGTCATCAACTCATGGAGACTGGCACAGGGGCCCCCAGGTGGAGCTCATGAAAGAGGTCAAGGGAAGAGACACAAATCTGAGCGTCTCCCACGTGCAGATGTCTGCTTAGAGCCAGGAGATGATAAAAGTGCCTGCAAAGCCCAACCGTCCCTGTGGGTAGGAAAAAGGGTACAGCTCCTGATAAAGACCGGCATGAAGACAGGAGTCAAGGGCTGGCGGGGCACGCTCAGAGAGGGAAAGGGGGCCAGGCAGCAGGGCCCAGTAGATCTCGGGACCGGTCTGGATGGCCTGCATCCCGAAGCGGCAGCGTGTGTAGGAACTGGAGGAGATGGTCTCTCAGAGCAGTACCACTTGGGGCTCGGGCCTGCTGGGGGGTGTAAAAAAATCTCACCTCCCACCTTCTGGCCCCCCATGTGGCTGGGCCTCACCTCCCTTCAGGCCAGCCGGGTACTGCAGGGGCCGCCAGTGTGTCTGTGAAGAGCCTTGCGCCTTCGGGCGGTGTTCCTGAACCACGCCTGCGCCCTGAGAGCAGCCCTGTCCTGGCTCAGGCTGCCTCCCCTCAGGAGCTGATGCATGGCAGCCCCCTCCCTGTGCCACTGCCCGCAGCAGGCACCCAGAGCCTTGGAAAGGTCTGGGAGAGCGCCTGTGTTCAGGTGCCCTGAACACTGCTCCAAGATGGGGCTGGCCCATGTGGCTGAGGCATGGTGTTGTTCTGACAGCTTTGGTCAAGGCTTCTGAAAGCACAGGGGTTCTCTGGAGGCTTAGCAGGGAGCAGCAGAAGGGCTACACTGGAGTTTGAGGCTTCCCTCCATTTCTGAGCCTGAGCATCCTTCTCTGGGAACCACTGGCCTCCCGGTTACACAGGCGGCTGCCGCTGCATGGCTACCATTGACCAGCAGAGTGGGAGGCTTGGAGAACCTGCTATTGCAAAACCCAGACAGAGAAGCGACGGCTCGGCGTTGGCTTCACTCAGTCCACCGCAAACCTTTGCTGTGAGACACTCACCTTGAGGACCTTCTTGATGCCGTTGATGGTGGAGGTCAGCAGAGAGTGCACTTTGAGGTCGTCGTTGACATAATCCGCATGCCTGATGCACATGTAGAGGATGTAGGCGGGCAGACAGGGCACCGTGCCCGCCAGCGTCTGCGGCTTCAGCTCTGACAGCAGCAAATGGCAAGGATTAGATTTACGGTGAATGCTTGGGGCTGTGAGAATCCTGGTCTGAAATCCAAATGTTTTCAATATTTTCCTGTAGCTCATCTAAGAATGACCTCTCGTGGGGGAGGAGTAGGGGAGAAGCTGCCCAGAAACTTCTCTGACCCTGACGACCAACAGTTTCAGAAGCTAGTTAAAAGCCCTGAACAAAAGCACATTCCTAGTCACTTGGTCTGTACCATGCTCCTAATGCCTTGTCCTTACAACGTGGAGAAGAGCCCGCAGGTAGCCAGCTCCCTGCCTAAATTTACACGCAGAGGCCATGGTCCCATGAAGGGGCCTGTGGCCCAAATCGCACTGAGGCCAGGAGCTGGCTCCCAGCTGGGCCGCAAGTCCCGATAGCACTTGCTGTTGTGAGCACAAGGGGCTTTCAGCAGCTCGAAGCGAGGGCCGGTCCCAGGAGAACCTGGCGAAGCGTGCATTCCCCAAGACAGCCCGTGTGTGCCGCAACCACCAGCCAGCCCATTTGGCTGTCAGTTTGGAGCAGTATACCTGGCAGCGCCTGTCCAAACATTCTCAGAGCCAAGAGACCAAGAGGCTGCTGACTGGCCACAGCCACTCCCTCCCCTGCCCAAGTGCCACCATTTAACATGTGTCTCACCAGCCTCTCTTGGCCAGTGCCAATTTGGCGATAGTCAGGGACATCTACTACCCCAGCCCCCACCATCCCCCAGCTGCTCTCTTCTGCACCCCCTGCCCCCACCAAGTGTGCTCTGGCAGGACCTGAAGGGGCCCATGACTCTCCCCATGAACTTTAGACTCCTACTCAGCCTCTAAGTCCTTCCCTGTCAATGCCCCTGGAGATAAGGCCAGGCACAAGGCCCCAGGCACAAGGCCCCAGGCATCAGGCCCCAGTGCTGTATCCCCAGACCTCACCCTTCATTCTCATGACCTCCATCCCCCAGCCTCTGCCCAGCCCAGGCCTCCTGAGTTACCTCCAGGAGGCGGCCACCTCCCCTCCACCTGCAGGTAGCTCAGGGGGAGGGGGAAGAGGCAATGTCCTCAAATCTTCTGGCAGGGCTATCCTGGGATGGAGCTGGGGATATGCTGACAGCATCTCCAGTTGGTCCTTGAGTTACACTGTCCCTTCGAGTATATCCTACCCTTCGGGTTAAATGCTGACTACGAGCCATAATACTCTGGGTACATGGTTAACACCTGGGCATTTTCTAGGCTCAACAGATGACTGTGGCTTGGCCCTTGGTGTAATTAGAATGCCAGTAACATTTATACAGGAAAATGTATTTTAAGGCCCAGACTTCCAACTTAGAGCTTCTTGCTCCAAGCCTGACCCATGTGAAGACTGCAAAGAGCTGCTTCTGTTTATGATCTGAGTCCCACTGTCATTGCTCAGGTGGCCCCAGGCAAGGTCGTCTGCTGCACTGCCTGAGCACAGTGTCCAGTAACTTTGCGGGGTCTGCCCATCTGAACATTAGCGTCTTGGGGAACGGGCCACAGCTCTGCTCTCAATCTCTTCAGCCACTAGCCAGTGCTGGGGACCTACGAGGTGGTCAGTGAAGTCTTGGCATTCATTTGCATGGGGTCTTTTGGAGAGAAAGTTACTGGACACTGTGCTCAGGCAGTGCAGCAGATGACCTTGCCTGGGGCCACCTGAGCAATGACAGTGGGAAGGAGCCACCCATCTTCTGGCACAAGCAGTCTCATTATTTTGTGCTCTAACGCTGTGAATTTGAGTTTCATTCACCAGAGATGAAAGATTCTTAGCAGCATCTGAACAAGATGCAGCCTGTTTAAGAAGGTTTGAGATGAACTTATGTCACATTTAATTGTTGGATAATTGTAGGGGAAATTAACCTTTATCAAAAAAAAAAAGGACCAAAATACTCCACTACTAACAATACCCAAGGCAAAGAGCCAAATGAAATCTGTGTTAGGCTGGAGTCACTCGAGTCTTCCCGCAGCCCTCGGCCCTCGGTGTAGTGCTCGGCAGAATGTAACCTCAATAAATTGAAATTTCTCTAAAACAGTTTACCTCTTATTCAAACTTCAAATGCCCCTGCCAAAGCTAACACTTCGAATGCCTCCCATTTGAGAAGGGTCTGTGGCTTCAACACAGTCCTGTCGCCTCTATTACATCTCACGCGCCAGGGTAGGCGGGAGTCGGTGTCCTCATCCTCATTCTACAGATGAAAAGAACTGAGGCACCACAGAGGATGGAGCTACTGGCTCAGGGCCCAGAGGACCCGGCCACCATAGAGTCCTTTTTGTCATCCGGCACCCTCTCCTCTAAGATTCTCCCTCCTGGCTGTGCAGTGGCTGCTGCCCTGGGATAGGCACCCAGTTAGTGGGAAGATGGGCGTTTTGAAGCCAGATGGGGAATGAGACCAGAGGGGAGGGAACCTGTACAATTGAGAAACCAGGCCCAGGGCTGGCGAGGAAAGTAGCTCCCAAGAGCCCTGCGTGCCGGTGCCACACAGACCACAGCATCACCCAGGAACTCCTGAGAAACGCAGCAGCTTGAGGCCATGGATGTGAGGGGAGCGTGAGCGTGGCAGGGGTCGTGTGGGGGGTGGGGTGGGGGCACTAGAGGACAGAGTAGGGAATGGGGAGATGGAGATCGGGGGTGTCTGCAGTGGTGGATGGGCAAGTGGAGGGCAGAGGGTGAGGGTAGTTGCCACAGAGGGTCCCGACCTGTCACCAGGTTCCGAATGAGCAGGGCCTCATCTTCCTTGTGGTACTCCAGCATGCCCTGGAAGTCCTTCTCTTTCCGCTGGACAGTGACCTGCCTGTTGAGCTCGTGGCGCCTCTTCTCACTCTGAGCTAACGTCTGGGCAGCTGAACAGGAAAGAGAGAGCTGGTCATGGGGGACGGGGGCGGGGTGGGGTAAACATTCGAGGAGTATCTGAGGAGAGGAAGTGATAGGGCTTCAAGACTGAGCAATGTCAATATGCTGCATATTTACTTATTAAATCATACTGGACACCAACTATACTTCAATAAGTTTAGTGACCCAGAGAATGAAAATTTGAGGAACAGAAAACAGAAATCCAAAAAGGGAACAGTGGGCACGAGGGCAGGAATGGAGAGAAAAGGCCTGCGGCTGAACAGGACAGACCGCCCTGCCCTCTCAGACCCTCGTCTGGAGTAGCAGGTGGACGGACATAAGCAGAGATTAAACAAACACCACCTGTGATCGGAGCTATGCCCCCCGCCCCCGCCATGGCACATGGCGTCAGGACAGCAAAAGGTGGGACTTGAGCCCTGGGGATGCGGCTCCTGAGCTGAGGATGAGGGAACTATCCAGGTTTGTGTGTGTGTGTGTGGGGGGGTATCCAGGTTGTGAGGTGGGGGGGTATCCAGGTGGTGAGAAGGGTTTTCCAGGTGGCGAGGGGGGTATCCACGTGGTGGTGGGGGGGTATACAGATGATGAGGGGTATCCGAGTGGTGATGGGGACGTATCCAGAAGGTGAGGTGACCGAGAGGGTTCCAAGCAAAGTGGTATGTGCAAAGAGGGGGTGGGGAGTGCCATGATTAGATTTACGGTAGAGTCAGAGGTCGAGGACGCTCTAGATGTTTCTAAGTGAGCATTTTGAACCTGGGCGACCTCTCTGGCCAGGCTGTGGTTTGGAAGTTTAATCACTCCACGGGGAGCATGGAGTGAGGACCCTGTGGTTGGGCTTTTTGTGCTACGTCGCTTTTTTTCACACGACGTGAAGTCTTGCCTCCCAGCTTTACGCCCTTTGGGGGCAGGACCACGGGGCAACTGTCTTGGTTGCTCTTCCCTCCAGCTCTGCAGCTCAGGGTAAACGTCCAAACACCTGCTGTATTTGTGTGGCTTTCATCCGGATTCCAGCAAACTGAGAATGGTTGAGCTCGTGGGGTCTAAACGGTTCAGTCTTGTGACTGGATTGGCACAGGCACCAGGAAACTGGTGACGCAGGAAGAGTCTGCAGGGGTGGCAGGCGCTCCCCTCCCTCAGGCGTGTCTGCGCACACCTGTGCCTCACAGCACACACACACACCCTACCTTCTAGGTCCTGGACTTTCTTCATGTAAATCTTCAATTGTTTTTTGAGCTTCTTCTCATTCTTTTCCAGCTTTTCTACCAGTTCTTTAAGGTCCTAAAAGCAGAAGGGAGCAGTGAGAGAACAGAGCTGGCCCTGTGCTGGAGGGCAGGGGGTAGAATCCTTCCACGCAGCATGGCCCAAGGCAGCCGGCCGAGGAGGGCCAGGCTTTATGACTTGCCAGGCTTCCTGACAGGCCAGGAGGCCCGCCCCACGCAGCTCACTGCTCCCTGGTCCGGATCCAGGAATGAGAGATGGGTCAGGGTTCATTCTCACAATCCAGGAGGGTACCCTGCTTGGCACTCTGGCTGTATCCCACCATTCTCTAGGCCAAGTGTCCTCAGGTTGCCATGCTAAACCCGCAGAGACACTCTGCCTGGGGGTCCCTAGATGCGTAGGCAGCACCCTGGGAAGGAATGGACAGGTAGAGGTGTGGGAGTGGGCCAGCGAGATTACTTGAGGCACAAAAGCAAAACAGGACCCTGGTGGGGGTCCCTCCATGGCTGCCAATCCCTAGCAATCATGGCCGCTGGAAGCCAGTCAGCCTGCTGGGACCTGGGATGGCATTATGTCAGCCCTGTTCCAGCTGAGCAGTGGTCCCCCGTGGCTAGGGAGGCAGGGAACTCTATCGCCATTACGGCCTCTGTGGTTAGGAGTGCCAGAAACAAGCACGCCACTGTGAAACCTCAGAAACATCGGGGTGACACATTCGTAAGGTTGGCCTACAGATGGAAGTCAGCCAAAATCTCAATCCCAGTGCTGCAGCCATGGCAAACCACAAACCTAGGTACAGACATTGTCAAGGGCACCATCTTATTTATCTTAATAAAAAAAAAATTTTTTTTAAAAAAGGTCTCAAGTTGAGAGGTATCTAAAAACCCCACCTAAATGACAAGAGAGGGAGCACAGAGTAATAACCAGACCAGAGACCGACGAATACACTCTGAGCTCAAGTCAGTTCGTAGCAAGGACACAGGCATCTCGATAAACTTTAGAAAGTATTCTTTGGAGTTCATAAGTTCTTCTATGAACCTTCAGTTCTACTCGCCCGTCTCATCCTTCTGCATTTTTCTTGAGCTGTGCCAAAGCCCGTGAATGTCCCTGTGGCTCCTGGAGCATGTCCCCAGCTCTAGCAACTTCGCTGCATGACACCCCCACCTCTACCTTGTGCCCACATAGCCCTCTCCACATGCACCTGCACTGAATCCTCAACTATTCATTTGGCTTTTACTCTTGCAAACGATGCATCAATGCTCGGAGGCAAATGACTTGGCCAACCTGGGGTTGCTCCAGGCCAGAGTCAGGAGGGAGACTCCAGTATGCCAACTGCCATCCGGTCCCCACACTCCTCTGGGCAACGTTACCAAATCCAAAAGACACAGACGTGCCTGTGCCTCTTCTATCACCATTTAAAAAATTTTCTCTATACCCTGAGAGGTCAGACAACAAATGCTCCAACACGTATCTGCAGCTAATCAAACACCAGACACTCCAACGAGAAAAAATTAATCTGGTCGCATGGCTCTGATCGATTACCTTCTGTCCCCAAGAGCTCTGAAGTCGCAGCCAGCTTCTGCGGGGAGAGCCCAGGAAATACAATACTTCACCTGGCCTCCTCCCACCCCCGCGCCGGGTTGGGGGAATGGGACGTCCAATCCACAGCACCAAACGGCGGCTTTGCACCGCTCAGCTCCTGTGCCATCTCTGCCATCTCTGCCATCTATTTAGGCCTCTCCCCTCGAATCCAGGAGCACTGTGCTCCTTACCAAGGAGGATGACGCAGGCCGCGGTTCCCAGTGCTGCACACCGGAACCACCTGGGATCTTTAAAGCTTGAAATCAGCAAATTGAGGACAAACAAAAGGGAACACTGTGCTGGCTACAGTGGGTGGTAAACTTGGGGAGCTGAGGTCCAGAGCCACAGAGGCTAAAATTACAAACAGCCGATGAAAGGCTGAGGTCAGTCCAGGAGGAATCTTGAGAACAGAGGAGTCTGCCTGGGACATCTCTAAACTTTTCAAGTTACTACCAAGAAGGACCGTCCCATCCTCCCTTCCACACGGCCCTATAAGGGCGCCTCTCGGATCACTCCCGCTGGAAGCCAGTCCCCCGAATTCCTGTAAACCTGGCCTCGGAGGCACCCAGCACCTGGGCTGTACTCCACATACACAGGCGTCATCCTCCCTGTGGATGGCACCCTCCCTCATCCGCCAGTGAGCACACACGAGGCACTAGTGCTTGCTCGGCAAGGGAACGGAGATGACAGAAACCTTGGCCCCTGCCCTGGTGGCTATGCTTATGGGCCTGGCCTCTGCCCAGGTACACAGGGTGGACCACACTCTAGAAGGGTCTCCCATCAGGCTGCAAGCTGAGCCCTACCTGTCACCCTCGTCCTCGCCTGCCCAACAGCCCAGGCTCCTGCTTCAGCCCTAGGGCCCGCCACAGGGCATTGGGGCCCACGGTGCTGACTCCTAAGCTGTCCGGTGAGCTAGCACGCTCTCTCCATGGTTCCTCCCTGGGGCACAGCCCTCCTGGAAGGGGGTCGCCCACCACGCCGCTTGGTCAATGGCCCCTCCAGGAGCACAGGCTGCCTCCTTTGCCTGGTAGAAGCCAGTCCAACAAAATATGTAGATTTCTTTCCATAAAGCCACCTGTCTATATACATGTGGGTGACAGTGACATGCAGATGCAGAGAGGGAGACAAAGAGAGGGAAGGCCGATCACTTGTATAAAAGTCCTGTTCAGGGACCTTAGTCTAGGGCCCCATTTCCCAACCTAGAATTGAGTGAGCTGGCCACCCAGCACGGGGCCACCTGGTTGGAAAGCGGAAATGCTCCTGGACCGGAAGCTCTGCTGGTGGTGCAGGTTTGGGGCACTTCCTGCTGCTCCCCCACAGGGACGCTCAGGTGCAGAAGGCCATGGCGCCCCCTCTGGTGCCGCCCCACTTGCCCATGTCCTGGTCCTGCCCTGGTGCCTATGTCCATGCTCCTCTCCTTCCTCTCTGCCCGTCTGCATGCATGACACCCCCTTCTGCCTCAGCTCCAGCTTCCACTGGAATCCTTTCTTTTTCTGTAACATTTGTTAATCTAATATATAATGTTTTCAAAAACATGATCATCTTTCTCTTTTTTGTGTGTCCTGCTTCTCCTACTGACCCGAGGACAGAATGCCTTCTGTTTCTCTGCACCTGCCAGAGCTCTTTCGGTGACTGTCTGCAAGGAGGGCCACCAACAATTCCTCCCATGTCTCCTTCTAGCAAGAGAAGTCTACCCCCACGGAAATCTGACCTAGCCATGAGATCTGTCTTGATCAAAAGAAGGTGGCAGAAGTGACTCAGTACGAGTTCTGGGACAGGGTTTTAAGAGGCCTCTCAGCTCCTGCTTTCATTCTCTTGGAAGTCAGCTGCCATGCAAAGCAGCTCAGGGCAGACCAGTGAATGATGAGAGAGGCTGTGGAGAGAGATGGACCCCTCAGAGGGGAACAGCCAGCACTGAGGCCCGAGACACGGGACTGAGGCCATCTCAGAGCCCCCAGCCCCAGCCAGCACCAGAGGAACAGAGACCAGCCACGCCCTCTGAGCCCTGCCAGAACTGCTGACCACGCAATGTGGTTGCTGTTTTAAGCAGCTAAGTTTTGGGGAGGTTAGTTATACCATAACAGGTGACCGTAGTATTGCCACAAACTCTTACTGACTGGAGGTTTCTAGATTCTGTTCCTGCGACAGAGCCAAGGACATAAATCATGTCCATTTGGCTAAAGGCCATCCATCCCTGGTCCCATTTTCTTCTAGAATCTGACTTTCCAGAGCTGGGATCCACCCGGCATGGCTACTCACCAGGTTCTCATTGGTCAGCCGGGAGAGCTCCTGCTGGATGCCGAATTCCACCTGGGCCTCCGGGGAGAGCAGCAGTGTCTGGCAGAAGGTCTGCTGCTGCTTGTCCAGCTCCTCCTTCAGGGCCTCCACCTGGGCCTTGAGACGCTCCACCTCCTCCTCATGCTCGCGGCCCTGGGCCTGCAGCTGTGCCTCCAGCAGCCTGCACCAGGGAGAAGAGGTCAGGTGACCGAGAGGCTCGAGTCAGTGCCCCCGGGAGGGGCAGGGGCCCAGAAGGACACGCAACAGAGGAGAAGCCAAGCACGCAGCAGTAGCAGCAGCAATTGCATGAACCCAACAGGGATGGATGCCGAGGGGAACAGATCTGTGTGGCTCATCAGGCAAGCAGGCCAGCCTGTCCTCCTGCAGGATGGGAAACCAGGGCCAAGCGTGACACCCCTGATCGCAGGCCTCTTTCTTACACCCACCCCCCCGACCTCATTCCCTTGTTCTTCATTCTTGAGCACAGTCTATTGATTTGAGATTAAGAGATTGTCTCCATATCAAAACGTCATCAGCAGAAATGAATTTCTTATAGTATCTTCTAAATAACAGCATCCACATCTGCCCCCAAACTCACAAGAATCTCAAGACAAAACTCTGGTAGACTGAACTAATTATTTGCATATTTC